CCGAAACCACTGCAGATGAATGAAGCAGCTGTCCCATGAAACGCAAAAACTTACGGACTTTCAAAATGAACGATGCAATAATCGTGAAATTCAGAAATTTACGTGCAGATAAACTGACCGTTACTCTGATAGCGGAAGGAGCATAGTGAGAAAACTCGATTGCACCAATATAACTATGTAGAGCGTAATATGAAATTATATAAAATACTACTTATATGATATAGTTGTGCTAATACTGTATTAATCGTATGCATACATGATTAAAAATGACTAAATAACTGACCTACTTACACGCAATAACTGGCCTATTTAATGATCAACATAGCTAAGTTCACTTCGTCACTTACGGCGACAAGGAGCAAATCTTGTTCTGCTTAACAACCAGAACTTTGAGCAACGGGCTGCCGGACAGCGAATCCTCTGCGATGTCGGTCAGCTGGTTTTGACTCAGATCTAACACCTGCAAGTTTTTGAGTCCGTAAACAGAAGGAACAGCTGACAGCGAATTGTTGGCCAGGTACAGCTCCGACAGTATTTCTCGTTGACCCATAAACGCATCGGAATCAATCTAGAGAATTATTAAACCATTACATCAAATTATGACATATGTTCCAACGAATACAGAATTACATCTTGAAAACATACAATACCGAAGGCCCAGTCGGCCCATCGTCGGAATACCACCATTGCAAAAAAAAACATTTCCAAAGTCAGTAAAACAATCTCCAATGGTTGTTGAAAAGTCCTATGAGACACGGACGAAACGTCGGTACTGATCAGTCAACCGATTGACCAAATTGACTGTGTTGTGTATAAATAAATCGTGTTTTGAGCTGTTTTCCGCATGAAAACCAACACCCACGAAATATTCGCTTTGGGACACATTATTTAAAAAGGGATTTAATATTAATACAATGTATAATCATTGAAGTTTCCCATGGCTGATCACGCAGACTTATCAAACCTTTAATCGACGATATATTTGTATAATAATAGTAATAATAATCAATAATAATAATCAACAATAATCATCGTGGTCATTGTTAACAATAGGAGTAAATGAGACAAGCGTATTGTAATACTAATCCGTGTGGAATGGGTGTAAAAGTGTAATATAATATATAATCTGCTATAATTCTTTTTGGTGAACGTATATCCTTAGAAAATTCTTGAAAAACCATCTGAATTCTCGATATCATCTCGTTAAACACAGAAATAAACCGATCAGCAATTCAAAACCTTAATATCG